GGGGTGGAGTGGAGTAAAGCATTATCAATATTCTGGAAAGAACCTCTTTGTTGCGTGTATCCCTGTCTTTGAGATCAGACTAGTGCGATATGCTGGCAACCGGTCGGTTTGTTCGTAAACGTGTCAGTTCATCATTCGTTTGAAAAATAAAACAAAAACGGAGCCCTCCCCACCCCCCCTTAATAACCCCCCAAAAACGTGTCCTGTTTCTGTTATATAATGCGAGTCCCCACCAGTAGTGTGTTACGAAGTCTGAATTAGACGACGAGACAGGGGTCAACGAGGAGTCAAGCGTATGGGGTATGCTTAGTGTGCGTTTTTTGACCGAATTCCAAAAGACGGTCGCTTTTTTGTGATGATCTTTCTCTTCACCATTCTCACAAAGGATATGAGTTCGGTTCCCATTGTGTCGGTAGGTGGCGAGTGCTCTGGTGCGGTTTGCTCTTTCTTTCCTATAGATTTTTTTTAGCTTCCTCGTCTTTTTTGTGTTTTTTACTCTCTAGGGCACCTCTAATCTTCGGCACCTAATAATGACCTTATTCTGTTGCAAGTGCCGTAAACTCGTAATTATAATTTTTTTGACCAAAAACCCCCCGAACAAACCCCTATATGAATTCGGACCCCACTGCGGAGACACATTTCCATCGACATCAGTCACAGAATTTTTGTTTGGTGGTTTGTACCCTACACTTCCCAGGTTATTGTCGTCTGTAACTGTAATGTAGCGGGCGGATATATGGGCGCTTTGCTGTCACGCGTACAAGTCCTGAGTTCATCGAGTGGGGATAATAATTAATGATGTATTGAGTATCTCGATCTTTTCTGCTGGGACGCTGTGTCCCTCTCAGCCCAGGTTTGCCCTGACAGACAGAGTCGAAGCCCAAATCTTAAATGATCTCAATTGTGTCAATGGAGGGGGGAAAAACATCAACACGTTATAAAAACAATTCAAAACAAAATAAAAACGAGACAGAAAAGATCAGCAAAAAAACAACAACCAAAAACCAACAAAAACCCCACAAAAACATTAGGGGAAAAAAAAGCCCAAGTTGACTGAGACGTGTGGGGTGGAAACAACCAGGCGCCACCCCTGTTTCTCTAATCCCTATTCTGCTGTTGAAACGCGAAACAGCAGCTGAGGAAAGCTATGTTGTTGTATTAAAATGTGTTGTTTGTGCATGCGGAGGCGGGTGCGTGTGTGTGTGTGTGTGTGTGTGTGTGTT